TCAATGGGCTGCCGCTATCCGAGACATCGGTGAAGTCGATTCATCCAACAACATGAGCTAATCGGAGCAAGTCAAGTTAAGCCCATTCCCCTCCCTTATAGACTGGTTTAATTCATTATTTGAATAGGGTACAGCATACCTGTCTTACGGATAAAAGCTGTGGATGGCAGGGTAGGTACGGTAGATTAACTAACGCCTGCAAGGTAAAGATTAAACCTCGGCGGGGGAGGGGGGTACAGTTTAACACATAAGAGCAGTTGGCGAGCATACGTTTAATTTTTATAAATTCTCCTCAGACCGGTAAATTTATTTGGGAACGGGGTAAAGTTAAAACATGCGGTCACGGATGGTCGTCTTTCCCTAAAAGTGAATTGGGGGTTGGAGGTCTATACGAGACGGCTGGTTACGCGGCGACGAGGGTTTGTTGGAACCGGTGCAGGGGGGTGGACAGAGAGCGGAAGAGTGCACGCCGTTTAGTGAACGTTGGCCACGCCGGGCGCGGAGCTTACGGAAACGTCTTTTTTTGCGCACATGCCCGGTTTCCTCAACACGAAAGCGGTCTCTTCTATTGTTGTGGTCAGCAGGCGCTGGCCCAAGAACTTTGAATAGTTTAGTGTGGACTATAAATCCCCCCAGAGGCTTCGTTGGGGTGCTTGCGATGTCCAAAGTCAAAAATTTGCGCGGGAGTACGCTGTTTATGCTCCTAGCTTCGTCTTTCCTCAGCCATGCCGGGAGGTGTTACCTTACTCTTTTGGATAAGCGCGCGATCGTGCGATTCGGATAACCTGTTACATAGGAACGAGTGAGTCAGTAAATGCACATGGAGGTGGTCTGAGCTGGCAACCTATCCTTACCTTCCACGAACACGTCCGAGTTGGTTTAAAGTAACGCCCGAACGCTCGCTGTTGGAAAGGTTCGTGAAAAGGCCTGGTCAAGGCGATTCGTTATTTTTAGCCTGAGGCGTAAGAGTTGTTTACCTAAAAAAGTGTTAAGTGTAACTCAGTGTATTGAGGAGAAAAGTGCACAGAATTAGGCCAGCCCCAAAGTTTATTGATATCGAATAAATTTCCTATGCGGATTAAAACCTCTTGTTTATGCGTGTTTTACTATAAACGACCATTAAGATATATATATATATATGTATATATATATATTATGCCGATAAAGACAAGGGAGACCGGAATGGTCGTTTTTTAGTCATCATCAGCTACTCATATCTAATCCCAGGTATGGCGCTCCCCAATATTCGAATCAGGAACCTTTGGTCATTGTCGGTTCTACTTTTGCATATACTACAAGTCGCCATGCGACTGCCTGCGAAGGTTCTAGCTTGAGCTCCAAGGTTCACGGAAAGAGAATGTTATGTAACCAGCTCGGAGAGCGCCGTACCATTCATATGCATCATACAGTCCATAATTGATTTCTGGGAACAGGCTGTAGATTGTTGCGGACAGCCAACAATGTTGTG